GTGTCAGTGATGTAATAAGCTTCTGGTTTCCCCAAAGTCTTTCAGGGTACCCAGATTGTCTCTGGGGATCTCTGCTTTGCATCCAGCACACTTCCCTGTAAGAGTCCAAACAGTCCAGACATGAAGGATCTTTCCCTGAATCCATTCTTATATCTTCTGACAGAAGACAAGCTGACAGTGTCTCTTCCCACGTGGGCTTTTCCTTTGATGATGGAGAGTGGGGAATGCACTTAGTCTGTTGACCTTAAGCCATCATACATAATGGCCACTTGCTTTTAAATAAGCATTTTCTGTTAAAGTCCTTAAGTCCTTCCTTAGCATTTCACAAGATTTCTTTGATCGGTTATTAAGTTACAGAGGTGTACACAATGTAGATGTTTGCTATTATATTATAAAAGGAACAGATAAGTGAAAACAATGCAAATAACATCCCATTGGTTTTCATGAAGTTTAAAAACCCAGTACACTCATTCATCTAACTATTTCTTTGTTCTATAATAATACACAAGTGAATTGATCTGAATACATTGTAGCATGACCTGGTCTGCCAGCCTCACTGAAACATTAAAGAACAAAGACTGCTGATTGCTTCCCCTCACACTCAGGGAGAGTAGACCTGCAGGTGAACTCATCCAATCATCTTGAACTCTGGGCGAAGAGAATATAAATCCCTGACAAGAAGGAACTGTAACTCTCTGCTGCTTGAACTCCGAGAAGTGAAAATTCATATGTCCCTTCATGCTTCAACCACCATTCCAGGGACACACGTCCATGCTGATGATGGGTTCTGCTCGATAACAACCCAAAGCAGTGCTGACCGACGCATGTTCATTTTCATTATCTGAGTCAGATGCCACCAGCAGAAGGTTGATTTTCTTTTTTGGTGGTTCAGGTTCTGCAGTTTCCACATCAGAGTGTTGCTCTTTTAAGACTTCTGAAAGCATGCTCCACACCTCATCCCTCTCAGATTTTGGAAGGCACTTCAGATTCTTAAATCTTGGGTCAAGTGCTGTAGTTATCTTTAGAAATCTCACGTTGGTACATTCTTTGCGTTTTGTCAAATCTGCAGTGAAAGTGTTCTTAAAATAAACATGTGCTGGGTCATCTGCTATAACATGAAATATGTGGCAGAATGCGGGTAAAATAGAGCCGGAGATATACAATTCTCCCCTGGGGGGTTCAGTCACAAATTTAATTAATGCATTACTTTTTTAACAAGCGTCATTATCATGGAAGCATGTCCTCTGGAATGGTGGCCGAAGCATGAAGTGCCATACGAATGTTTAGCATATCTAGCATGTAAATACCTTGCAATACCAGCTACAAAAGTCCCATGAGAATGCCTGTTCTCACTTTCTGGTGACATTGTAAATAAGAAGTAGGCAGCATTATCTCCCGTAAATGTAAACAAACTTGTTTGTCTTAGCGATTGGCTGAACGAGAAGTAGGACTGAGTGGACTTGTAGGCTCTAAAGTTTTACATTGTTTTGTTTTTGAGTGCAGTTATGTAACAAAAAAAAAATCTATATTTGTAAATTGCACTTTCACGATAAAGAGATTGCATTACAGTACTTGTACGAGGTGAATTGAAAAATACTATTTCTTTTGTTTATCATTTTACAGTGCAAATAACATAAGAACATAAGAATGGCCATACTGGTTCAGACAAAACGTCCATCCAGCCCAGTACCCTGTCTACAGACAGTGACCAATGCCAGGTGTCCCAGAGGGAGTGAACCTCACACGTAATGATTAAGTGATCTCTCTCCTGCCATCCATCTCCACCCTCTGACAAACAGAGACTAGGGACACCATTCCTTACCCATCCTGGCTAATAGCCATTAATGGACTTAACCTCCATGAATTTTCTAGTTCTCTTTTAAACCCTGTTATAGTCCTAGCCTTCACAACTTCCTCAGGCAAGGAGTTCCACAGGTTGACTGTGCGCTGAGTGAAGAAGAACTTCCTTTTATTTATTTTAAACCTGCTGCCCATTAATTTCATTTGGTGGCCCCTAGTTCTTATATTATGGGAACAAGTAAATAACTTTTCCTTATTCACTTTCTCCACATCACTCATGATTTTATATATCTGTATCATATCCCCCCTTAGGGTACGCCTATACTTACCTCCGGGTTCGGCGGTAAGCAATCGATCTTCTGGGATCGATTTATCGCATCTTGTCTAGTCGCGATAAATCGATCCCGGAAGTGCTCGCCATTGACACTGGTATTCCTGCTCCGTGAGAGGAGTACGTGGAGTTGACGGGGGAGCCAGCCTGCCGCGTGTGGACCCGCGGTAAGTACCTTGTAGTTCGAACTAAGATACTTCGACTTCAGCTATGTTATTCACGTAGCTGAAGTTGTGTATCTTAGTTCGAACTGGGGGGTTAGTGTGGACCAGCCCTTAGTCTCCTCTTTTCCAAGCTGAAATGTCCTACTCTTTTTAATCTCTCCTCATATGGGACCCGTTAAAAACCCCTAATCATTTTAGTTGCCCTTCTCTGAACCTTTTCTAATGCTAGTATAGCTTTTTTGAGATGAGGAGACCACATCTGTACTCAGTATTCAAGATGTGGGCGCACCATGGATTTATATAAGGGCAATAAGATATTCTCCATTTCATTCTGTATCCCTTTTTGAATGATTCCTAACATCCTGTTTGCTTTTTTGACTGCTGCTGCACACTGCGTGGACGTCTTCAGAGAACTATCCACGATGACTCCAAGATCTCTTTCCTGATTAGTTGTAGCTAAATTAGCCCCCATCATATTGTGTGTATAGTTGGGGTTATTTTTTCCAATGTACATTTCTTTACATTTATCCACATTAAATTTCATTTGTCATTTTGTTGCCCAATCACTTAGTTTTGTGAGATCTTTTTGAAGTTCTTCACAGTCTGCTTTGGTCTTAACTATCTTGAGCAGTTTAGTATCATCTGCAAACTTTACCACCTCACTGTTTACCCCTTTCTCCAGATCATTTATGAATACATTGAATAGGATTGGTCCTAGGATTGACCCTTGAGGAACACCACTAGTTACCCCTCTCCATTCTGAAAATTTACCGTTTATTCCTACCCTTTGTTACCTGTCTTTTAACCAGTTCTCAATCCATGAAAGGATCTTCCCGCTTATCCCATTACAACTTAATTTACATAAGAACCTTTGGTGAGGGACCTTGTCAAAGGCTTTCTGGAAATCTAAGTACACTATGTCCACTGGATCCTCCTTGTCCACATGTTTGTTGACCCCTTCAAAGAACTCTAATAGATTAGTAAGACATGATTTCCCTTTACAGAAACCATGTTGACTTTTTCCCAACAATTTATGTTCTTCTATGTGTTTGACAATTTTATTCTTTACTATTGTTTCAACTAATTGCTGGGATCACCTCTAGAGCCCTTTTTAAATATTGGTGTTACATTAGCTATCTTCCAGTCACTGGGTAGAGAAGCTGATTTAATGGACAGGTTACAAACCATAGTTAATAGTTCCACAATTTCACATTTGAGTTCTTTCAGAACTCTTGGGTGACTGCCATCTGGTCCCGGTGACTTGTTACTGTTAAGTTTATCAATTAATTCCAAAACCTCCTCTAGTGACACTTCAATCTGTGACAATTCCTCAGATTTGTCACCTACAAAAGCCAGCTCAGGTTTGGGAATCTCCCTAACATCCTCAGCCGTGAAGACTGAAGCAAAGAATTCATTTAGTTTCTCCAGAATGACTTTATCATCTTTAAGTGCTCCTTTTCTATCTCGATCGTCCAGGGGCCCCACTGGTTGCTTAGCAGGCTTCCTGCTTCTGATGTACTTAAAAAACATTTTGTTATTACCTTTTGAGTTTTTGGCTAGCTGTTCTTCAAACTCCTTTTTGGCTTTTCTTATTACATTTTTACACTTAATTTGGCAGTGTTTATGCTCCTTTCTATTTACCTCACTAGGATTTGACTTCCACTTTTTAAGAGATGCCTTTTTATCTCTCACTGCTTCTTTTACATGGTTGTTAAGCCACGGTGGCTCTTTTTTAGTTCTTTTACTGTGTTTTTTAATTTGGGGCATACATTTAAGTTGGGCCTCTATTATGGTGTCTTTGAAAAGTGTCCATACAGCTTGCACGGATTTCACTCTAATCACTGGACCTTTTAATTTCAGTTTAACTAACCCCCTCATTTTTGCATAGTTCCCCTTTCTGAAGTTAAATGCCACAGTGTTGGTTTGTTGAGGTTTTCTTCCCACCACAGGAATGTTAAATGTTATTATATTATGATCACTATTTCCAAGCGGTCCTGTTACAGTTAACTCTTGGACCAGCTTCTGCGCTCCACTCAGGACTAAATCGAGAGTTGCCTCTCCCCTTGTGGGTTCCTGTACCAGTGCTCCAAGAAGCAGTCATTTAAAGTATCGAGAAATTTTGTCTCTACATTTTGTCCTGAGGTGATATGTACCCAGTCAAAATGGGGATAATTGAAATTCCCCACTATTATTGAGTTCTTTATTTTGATAGCCTCTCTAATCTCCCTTAGCAGTTCATCGTCACTATCACTGTCCTGGTCAGGTGGTCCATAATAGATCCCTACTGTTATATTCTTATTAGAGCACGGAATTACTATCCATAGAGATTCTATGGAACATGTGGATTCATTTAAGATTTTTACTTCATTTGATTCTACATTTTCTTTCACATATAGTCCCACTCCCCCCCCCCCCCCCCCCCCGCACGACCTGTTCTGTCCTTCCGATATATTTTGTACCCTGGAATGATTGTGTCCCATTGATTGTCCCCACTCCACCAGGTTTCTGTAATCAAAATTAATATACACTTTGATTTCAATTGCAACACAGAATACAATATATATGAAAATGTAGAAAAACATCCAAAATATTAAACAAATTTCAATTGGTATTCTATTGTTTAACAGTGCGATTAAAACTGCAATTAATGTTTTTAATCACGATTAATTTTTTTGAGTTAATCGCGTGAGTTAGCTGCGATTAATCGACAGCCCTAGTAAACAGTCTTTCCTGGGGAGGTGGGATACCAGACTTGATAGATCAATTGTCTGATTTACTATGGTGACTTCTATGTTTCTTGTCTTTGCTCAATGGCTGGAAGATTCTGGATGGACCCAGATACCAGACTTTTAGAGAGGGTGTATGTGCTATGTCTATAAGTTATATGGTCTTTAAGTTTATTAACTTTTGCCTTTGGGGTGTCTGAGTACACATATAATGCAGTACGGTAATCAGAGTCTGTGTTCTGTACCTTGCTATGCCTGTTTAGCGGGGTGGTCACCCGCTCCTGCCTGGAAAGGCTTAAAACAGCCCTGGGAGAGGGCTGTGGCAGGGGAAAAGCTGGGCTGATTGGGAGAAAGTAGGCTGAGCTGGGGCCATGCCCCAATCAAGGCCCAGCTGGCCCTATAAAGGCTTGAGCCAGGAGCTCAAGCAGACAGGTCTCTCTCTGCATTCAGAGAGAGAAGGGTCTGGTTGCAGGGAGCTTTACCAAATACCTGGAGTGGAGCAGGGCTGAGGAAAGGCCAAGGGAGCCGGGGAGCTCCAGCCTAGGAAAACCCCAGGCTGCAGGCCTGGTAAGACCTATTAGGTACTGGGTTGCAGGGGGCAGCCCATGGGTAGGCAGAGGCAGCAGGTCTGAACCCCTTTGCCTGTGATGAGTGGCTGACACTGCAATCTGCCCCAGTGAATGGGGGCTAGATGGAGATTGGGCAGTAGCCAAGACTGAGGCGAAGTGGGGATAGTGGGTGGGGTTCCCCTGGGAGGGGGAGACCCAGAACTGTGGGGGTACTGCCAGGGGGCAGCACCTAGAGAAAGGGGCACCGGGGTCCTGGGAGGGACATGGGGCCAGCGGCAAGGCAGATCACAGGCCTGCAGAGGGCGCTGCAAGGCTGGCAGAGCTAATTCCCTGAGAAGACCATCAGGAGGCGCCGCAGGGGTGAGTCTGCATGCTACAGCCACTGATTCACTGTGAGGCCTTGGGGAAATCACTTCCCTTCTCTAAACCTCAGCCTCCCCAACTGTAACATGGAGATTATACTGACCTAACTGACAAAGATCTTCTGAGGCTTAACTGATATTTGCAAAGTGCATTGAGAACACTAGACAAAATGCACTTCAGAAGGGTGAAATATCATTAAAGAAAGAGAGGCAAAGAGTGAAATAAACAAGCATTACACTTACATTTCTAACTGCAGACAGACAAACCCTCTTTGAAAGAAGCCAACAGCTAGATGGTTGTCCTTGGTAACTGTTTTATCAAAGGCCTAAGAAGAAAAATACAGACATGACAAAAGTTAGCTAAACCACATAACAGAGCCAGTGCCTGACAGATGTGATTGGAAGGCATTTGTTAGAGCGTTGGAAGGGCATGGTGGCTGAAACCCAGGAGCAGTTCCTGTGTGGGGGAGAATGCATGTGAACCATCAAAATGATATCTTGCAGATTAGAACCAGTCCCAGGAGGAAGTGATGGAATGTTCCTAAAATAACGCTGTTAGGAATCAGGATTGTGGAACGCAGCTCAGGCTCCTGTAATCTGAAGGCCTATTTGCCTGAAGCATAATTGGCTGTTCACACCTGGAAGCACCTTGTATAGCCTGTTCTTGGCCACTGCGAGCAGACACAGGTGAGCCATGGGGAGAATCATTTTGGGAACCACTTGGTTTGAGAGGGGATCATTTTAAGCAGGTGGTGATAGGGTGGACAGTGGGGGATGTGAAGGAGAAAATGGAAAGATTCCTCACCATGCACATAAAAGTCAGTATTCCTGCTTATCTTAAACCCACAGATGGGCCTACTTCCCAGATGAATAAAGAGAGCCATTGCATAGCTGTGGTAAACTTAGTTCATGGCAGTGGGTGTCAAAGCAGAACCCCATCCAGGAAGATTATTTTAGTTAGTATGTGCTTTTGGAAAGTAAGGGGTGCATCTCCTTTACCATGATTTTAAATAATGACTCCAAGATCTTTCTTGAGTGGTAACAGCTAATTTAGACACCATCATTTTATATGTATAGTTGGGTTTATGTTTTCCAATGTGAATAACTTTGCATGGTGAGACTAATATAGTAATCCAGGAGCGCACATTTGTTGTTGGTTTGGTGATGTCTAATTATAGAATATACCACTAGTTTGGGGTGTCTGACCTGAGATTGGCCTCTCGGGTGTAACCCACTGTGACAATTACATAGATTTACCATTAATGAGCCACTATTAAGTCATAGCCACATTGGAAAAACCACCAGGAGTTTACTTAGATGTGCCATCACATATAAATCTAAGACACAGTTTTCAATGATCAAAGTCTTTACTGACTGAGGAAGAGGGAGAAACAGAATGTAAGAGAATCTGGCTTGTTCTCAGATTCATGAGCAGGAACAGAATTAGATTTGTCTGATATCAGGCAACCATAAATTCCTCTGAAATATATACTGTAAGGTTTGTTCAGTAGCAAAGTATAATTTTCTTTTCCCCATTCTATCTGCGCTATGGTAATTCAAATAATAATAACTAGAAAATCTCCTAAGAAATAATATAATGGCAGATTTCCACTTTCCATTCAGAGTTAACCATCTTTTCTCTTTCCCAGATAAAAGTAAACACAAAACACAAGATTCCCTTCCTATATTTTTGACTTGCTTTACTTTTTTCTTTCTTTTGCTCACCTGCAAGGCTCCCTCAGGGTTCCCTGTTGAGAGATGCACACAGCCTATGTTGAAATAGATCCTGGAGGATGGCTCTTCGATACTGGAGAAGATTTTCAAGGCAGAATCCCAGTCCCCCTTATCCATAGCCAGAATTCCTTCATGCCAGCCTCTCACTAAGTCTCGATACGCCATTTTCTCTCTGTATACACAAATAAAACAGATTCCTCTCTAAAATCCTTCAGGATCTGGCTATCTTGGCAGCTGCCTAAAGCCTCACCCAGCTCTTTGCTGACAGACAGGTGCACCTGCCTGGAATTCAGGGCTAACAAGGAAGTTCAGCAGCCTCTAAGTCATACTTTGCTAAATACTCCCTTTATTACTCAATGGGTTCAGAAACACAAAGATTTCAAGGAAATGAGCAAAAGTAGGAGGAGTCAACCTAAATATTGACAGAGGAGACTGTTTAATCTCTGCCTGAACATAGACGGTGAGATTGCCATCTCAGTTGCACACACTTGTGTATAACTGAATGCAGGTCTGGCCTCAAATCTGTATAAAGCATATAAAACACAGATTTGTTCACCTCTTGCATTGTACTCCAAGTATTTCACTGTATTTCACAAAGAAAAGGTGGAATGCATAAAATTAGATAGGAAGCACTTCTGGCCAGGTGCTCTGCCTTTCTCTGTGTTCTGCAAAGAGCCTGGTAAGCTTCTGGACACAGTCAAAAATAAAATAATCATATTAATATAATACAGTAACTCCTCACTTAAGGTTGTAGTTATGTTCCTGAAAAATGCGACTTTAAGCAAAATAATGTTAAGCGAATCCAATTTCCCCATAAGAATTAATGTAAATAAGGGGGGTTAGGTTCCAGGGAAATTTTTTTCACCAGACAAAAGAGTAAATATATATATACAGTATAAGTTTTAAACAAGCAATTTAATACTGTACACAGCAATGATGAAGCTTGGTTGAGGTGGTGAAGTCAGAGGGTGAGATATTTCCCAGGGAATGCCTTACTGCTAAATGATGAACAAGCAATCAGCTGAGCCCTCAAGGGTTAACACGTTGTTAATGTAGCTTCACACTCTACAAGGCAGCACAAATGGAGGGAGGGGAGACAGCATGGCAGACAGACAGAGATACATTGTGTGTGTGTGTGAGATGCGCATTGCCCCTTTAAGTACGCTGACCCCACTCTAAGTATATTGCCTTTTTATGTAGATTAGCAAGTTGAGACAGCAGCTGCTGCCAGCAAGCTCCCTCTGTCCTGAGCCCTGTCTTGTCCCTCCTACCCTATGGAGATGGGGTAAGTGGGGGGCAGGAGCAGGGGGGAGGGGGACACCCTGACATTAGCCCCCCTGTCCCCCCTGCACAGCAAGCATGAAGCTCCCGGGAGCAGCTCCCGGGAGCAGCTCCAAGGCAGAGGGCAGGAGCAGCACATGGCAGTGGGGGGAGGGACAGCTGAACTGCGGGCAATTGATAGCCTGCTGGGTGGCAGCTGCACAGGGAACTTAGGGGAGTGGGGAGCTGATGGGGGCAGGGCTGGCTCCAGGGTTTTTGCCGCCCCAAGCGGCGGGGGGAAAAAAAAGCTGCGATCGGCGGCAGCTCCACCGCGCCGCTTTCTTCTTTGGTGACAATTTGGCGGCAGGTCCTTCCCTCCGAGAGGGACCGAGGGACCCGCTGCCGAATTGCCGCCGAAGAGCCCGACGTGCCACCCCCAGGGCCGGCTCCAGGCACCAGCTTCTCAAGCAGGTGCTTGGGGCGGCCGTTCCGGACAGGAGCGGCAGTTCCAGGTATTCGGCGGCAATTCGGCGGACGGTCCCTCACTCCGCCTGGGAGTGAAGGACCTCCCGCCGAATTGCCGCCGCAGATCGCGATCGCGTCTTTTTTTAGATCGCGATCGCGGCTTTTTTTTTTTTTTGGTTTTGGCTGCTTGGGGCGGCCCAAACCCTGGAGCCGGCCCTGGCCGCCCCTTCCCCGTGGCCGCCCCAAGCACCTGCTTGCTGGGCTGGTGCCTGGAGCCGGCCCTGATAGGGGGGCTGCCGGGCCACCCTGGTTCCAAGCCCCGACCAGCTTGCTCCAACGGGCTGCTCTTTCTGCAAGCAGTGGACAAAGCGGGCAGCAGCCAAACAACGTTATAAGGGAGCATTGCACAACTTTAAATGAGCATGTTCTCTAATTGATCAGCAACATTACAACGAAACAACGTTAACCAGGACGACTTTAAGTGAGGAGTTACTGTACAAAAATGTTACAGCCAAATGACTCAACACAGGATCCTAAACTTCATGCACAAAATATGTTCAAACTCCACATTTCACATGTAAATGTAGGATTTATGTTCATAATTTAAACATTAGGGTTCTGGCTGAAATCCAATAAAAATG